AGACCAGCATAACTTTCACGTTCTACAAAGGCTGTTCAAATACGCTAATCTAAAGACTTTTTTATACGCACGTATGGCTTATACATTAAAAGGAACCTACATGGTAGGCTGTATTTTTTTGGTACTACTCCAGCAGCAGGCATAGTTAAATAACCAAGTGCTAACTTCCTATTGCTATAGTACTTTTTATTTATGTACTGCGCTAAAAAGTACCTTTAAATTCAATTGTTGCGATTTCAGCTGAGGCTATGAGGACATCGACTAACAGTCAGTGCGATTCAGTAGTCAGCGAGGGCGAGGGAATCGGAAATTACGTGCGCTGGGGTTATGATCAAGGAAACGACGACTGTTATGAGTTTATGTTCCGCGGCCAAGAGGGCAACGGCAACAACTTTGCATCAAAGGAAGAATGCACCGAATCGTGCGTGAAAATAAGTATAAGTTGAAAATATGCATGTCTCGTGACTATGAGATATAACTGTGCCGAGCTGCTTAGGAAAGGGCTGCGACGGAAAGATTCCGTTGGACGAGGTAGAGCAATGCGGTTCAGAGAACAACTTCCAGTGCCGAGAAGGATTCATATGCCAATTCAACGACTACGCTTCTTTTCACTGTTGCCCGCCAAATAGTATGTTGGAATGACTGAGGAGCTGTTGGGTGCATCCTAAACGTCTACCTGGTCATTGGTTGGATTTATGTGTTACTGTACGAAAATTTGAGCAGGTGGTGGCTGGCAGCGGTTATGCATGTGACCTAAAGTCCTGTTTGTTTCTGACGTGGTGCATGACTATGCGACGTTTGGTGTATTTTTTTCGACATAAAGGTTTTAAACATACAACTTCATGGCAGTCGCCAAATGGCAATAAATGCAAAATCACATTTAGTCGAAAATTACGGTTTAGCACTGCTAGATGAGATGTACGGAATCTGCATGCAAGTCTTAACGTGTTCAGATTACTGCTTTGACCGTACTGATAGGAACATCTAAGAAAATGAGCTTCGTAAACTTATTTTCTATACGTGTTATAAACTGTCATATGACAGATTATATAGCAAATGCCATTTTCTGTTCAAATGGATAAAAAATGATGTACAAGTTCCAGCAGCAATATCTGGCTAGTTTCTAAACTTTGCTTATGCAAATAATTGATATTCAGCAGCCAACACGGAGGAAAATGGCCTAATTTGTCCTGACCATTATCATTTACTTTCTATTCTAGTAGAAGACGGCCTGTGGAATCGGTACGCATGGTAACCATGGAATTTTATCCGACGAATTTTTAATTCGGTTGTCTTTCGCCTGTGCAAATCTGTTTTGAAGGTGTAAAGTTACTGTCAAAGCAATTTAAAGTCCTCCTTAATAAACCGTTCACGATTCACAGACGACCTACAAGGCCAATGCCCTGCCATCCTATTAAGGAAGATGAGTGAGTGTAATTTTGTGGGAAACGAAGCCACACGTCACACGTTATACTTGCAACATACTGGTAAACACCGCCTTTAAAATAGGGTGCTCTCGACTGATAGTATGAAAACAAAGATCAGTTCAGTGCCCGCACCATGCGTTATAATGAAAAGAATAGTGCTAGAAATTTGTATATCTTTGCTCACATAATCACTCTGAATATCTTGCGTTAGCAGAACGCCTCCAATTTGTGATGTCTGTCACATTCCCAGAATTTCGATACCTTTGCTGTAAGGCGCAAATTATTGCATCGTAGAAGGAAATCACCGTCATCGAATATAGATCTCCCCCTATCTTGCATCTCCACGTTGCATGCTGACGTCTAGATCACAAAAGCTCATGTGCCGCAGTAAACGGCTTACACTTGACCAGTTTATGTAACAGGGTTAACGACTTTTTCTCAATGCCAACACACGAAACTAGTGTCATCAGTGCCTGGAACAGAATGGAATCGTTCCTTAAGACCCCAATGGAGCCATTTAACCCTTATTTCTCGTCTAAGCCAACGCTGCGGTACACAGTTCATCTGTAGTTCGTGTTCCTTCGTCATAACGTCTCCATGCCGTACAACAACACTGACCTGACAGACGCGAGGTGCCAGTGGATTTTTATAGAACGCGTCACTCCTTTCTTAGTCCAAATATTTTTATGGTTTCCAACGTCATTTTAGGCTAGGCCAATTCTCCCATTTAATTCCTCTGTATTGTGCCATGGCTGGAGATGAAAAATGGAACCGAGCTACTTAAACTGATCAACAGCTATAAGACATAAATTGTCCGAAA